CTTGGTATCAGCCCCACCCCCACCCCCCATCCCCACCCCCATCCCACCATGTGTGATGTTCTTGATGTCATTCTACAAATCACCTGATTTGTGGTCATGTTCAATGAGTCAATATCGCAGAAACCCTTATTAAACAAAAAGATCAATATGTGAAGCTACTGTTTCTCAGTGTATCCTCCCTCTAGTTCTATACACTCTGCAGCTGAAGTTTCCCTGTGTCTAATCCCACCCTGAGGAGTTCTGCATCCTTTAATTGATGCATGTAAAAATCCCAGTTTTGGTATTCTTAAAGGTGTCAAATCGTGTTCCTCTCAAACGTTTATTGAGTTTGATGAACAAAAAGAAGTCTGAAGGAGCAACATCAGAGCTATGGGGTGATAGAATAAGGTTTCCTTAGGAAATTCTCTTAGGACAAGACTTATTGCCCTTGAAGAATGAGTACAGACATTATGTGGGGAGAAAAACATTTCTCAGTCCAATTTCCCTGGCTGTGTTAGTCCGGGTTGACTAGAGTGACAAATTCATAGGGACACTCATATGTGTATAAGAAAGAGGGTTATAGACAAGAGCAATTGAATATTGATAAAACATTCCAACCCAGTCCAGATCAAGTCCATAAGTCTGATATTAGCCCAAAGCTCTATAAATTCTCGTCAGTCATGAAACACATGCAATGACACCGAATGCAGGAAGATCACAGGGCAGTGGGTGGGAATTCTTGTGGATCCAGTTGCAGTAGAGGCATCTCAGCACTGGCAGGGGTCTCCATAGGGTTCCTTCAGCTCAGAGCACTGGTGTAGTTCCATGTGTCTTGTCAGCTGCAGTGTCTCTCTGTGAGTGAGCCAAGAGAGAGTGAGAGAGAGTCTCCCACCTCCAAGGAGGAATACTGGAGTTCCCAGAATCCTCAGCAGGCCAAGTCCACACAGAGAACTCATTAGCTATGACCTGATTGACAGGCTAGACTCCACCTCATTCACACTTAATCCTCTCAAATTGACAAACCATTATATAACTACCACACTGGCCTTTTCCTCATCAACACAGTTCTTAATTTTCATAAAATGTATTCATTATAAGCCCCTGTGATCGCCCTGTGTCTTCCAAGAAAATCTATCAGTATTATCTCTGTGGAATCCAAAAAAAACCCAAATAGTTTCTATAAGTTGATCTCTCTGCTTTGAATTTAACTGGTTCAACGGATCCCCTTCAGGGCCACTTAAAAAAATTGGACCTTTGTTTTGAAGGCAGCCCAATGAGACTAAGGCAAGTGTCTTACTGGGAGAACTTGTTTACAGCTGTCAATTGATTTTGGAGACACATTTAAACATGTTTTGTTTAGAATAAATGGATGCATGGCTGAACTGGGATCCTAGTAGCAATGCCTTTATTGTGCTGATATATTGTGCATATTGATATCCTCGCAACACAACATCGCACTAAAGTTTATAGTCAGACTTTACACGTTTCCCAATGTTTACTTGCGCTATTTCTCTACACACAGTATTATAATAAAGATCTTTAATACAGGTTTTTCCATGTTTGGGATCATTTCCTTGGTGCAGATTTCCATGTGTAGAATTCTGAGATCGTTTCACTGTTACTCAACAGAATCCCATTTGCGTCCTCTGCTGCATTGAATCTGACATCCCCCTTTCTCCAAAGATAAGTGCCATAATTCTTGCAGATAACGTCTCAATATACAGCAGACTAGCAATCCTTTCACTTTCTGTCTACTTTCATTCTCAATGGGCCCTTTGACAGAAGGCTTTTGGCTTTTTCCTTCAAAAAGAATAATATCTGGACAGTTTGGAACACTCCATTTAATTAGATTTCCAAGTCCTGCCAAGATAGAGGAAAGGCCAGGATAAAAAAAATAAAAAGATTTGTTCACACATGGATTGATCCCAAAGCAGTATTTTAACTTAAGTTCTGAAATACAGTTTTTCATTAACTATTATCCTTAGGGAAATGAAAACTTTGAAAAAATGCATTTGGGCTACATGATATATTGCTTAAATGTAGAATTTAATACCTAAACTCTCAGTTCTGAATCTAGTAATAGCCCAGAACTTACAAGTGAATGTAAAATTAAACTGAAACCAATCATTCTGTCTGTCTTAAGTTTTCTGTTTGTGCATATGTATTCTGGAGGCTGTGCTATTGTATTTCCAAAGAGGATAACAATTTGCTTAAAACAAATAGATTTAATCCTCTCATATTATTTTAGGATCTATTATAAAGTGAAGCTTTGGTTTATGGTTGAGTTTTTAGAACTGCCCATTACTGCCAAAATAGAAGTTATAAAAACAGTCAAATAACAAACTACATATAAGATAGTACTGGAGGTAATACTTTTACCATAAAATGAGTTCTTAGAAATATAAAGTGGGTCAAAAATATATATGTAATACAAATTCTGAAGTTTCAAGAAATTAATAAACAAAGGGCAAGAGTGAACATAAAATTCATTTAAGAGGAAATGCAATCGATAAACCTAATAAAAATATCTAGCCTCATTAAGAATAATAATAATGGCAAAAAAACCAATTTTGAAATTCATAGCCAGTTTACTAATAAAGGCCCAAACCTGGACATATCCTGGGTCTATCAACAGGAGAATCAATAAGTAGTTTACTCACACAATGAATCAAGAAACCGTTGCTGTCGAATTATTTTGACTTATGGTGACTTCATGCATGTCGGGGTAGAATTGTGCGACATACTGAAAAAGCCACTGCCATTGAGTTGATACCAACCTTATAGGACAGGTTAGAGCTGCTTCTGAGGGTTTCCCAGCCTGGCATTCTGTATGAGAGGAGACGTCTCAGCTCTCTCCTGAAGAGTGGCAGGTGAGTTCAAACGGCCCTCTTTGCAGTAGCAGCCACCAGGTAGCTCCCCTGCCCTCCATGAGGTAATAAAGCAAAACCAAAAAATGTGTATTGTGTATTAGGTAGGGTTAATGTTTCAGATCATCATTTTTATATTTAGACAACTTGTCAACCCTCTCAATGACTTCCCTGCCCGTTCCAAATACGATCTTCCTTTACACTTCATACTACCCGTGTACAGGCTAGCCTATCGCTTCCCCTGTCCTCTCTCCCTCTCATCCATGGTGACCATCAAACATCGGTTTCTTTCTAAGTGAACAAGCTTAACCTTGATTTTTTGGTTTCGTTTATGACATACAATGTCTGCTCTTTTGTGATGGCTGACTTCACTCCATCCAATGTCCTCTAATCCATCCATGTCATGATGTGCTTCACAGTTTAACTCTTACCTTTTCGCAATGACCAGCACTCCATTCTGTGTATGTACCAACGTTTGTTTCTCCATTCTTCTACTCACAGGTTGTTCTCACGGGTGTCTACAGGTTGGACACTTCACAGTCTCGGTACTCGCTCCAGTATTTGTTATTTTCTGGTGTTGTTTTAAACTGTTCTATCAATTTGGTGTCAGGTGGTCACTGTTGTCTTGATTTGCATCTTTCAAATGGCTTGTCATCTCAAGCATTTATCCATATATGTTTGCTGCCTCAATGTTCTCTTCGGTGAACTGTCTGTCCATGTCCTCTGCCCATTTTTATATTGAATTCTTCTTTTTCTCATTGAAGCGTTGCTTTTTTCTGAAAGATTTTAGCGATTAGTGTCTATATCATGCCCATTCCCCCACCATGTCCCCCCCTTAAAAAAACCTTTTTTGAGGAAATCTTGTGGTCACCTAAGTGTCTTTTGATTACCTAAGTCCTCTATTTTGTCTTCTGCCTTGCGTGTGTGTTTGGTCATGCGTGATTGTGTGTGTGCCATGGATCACGGCCCTTCAGTTTGTCCTTATTTTCTCATTGGTAATCCTTTCAAAGAAGTAACTTCTTGTTTTATTGATTTTTCTATGGACTTTGGATTTACTTCGGCTTTCATCTAATTATCCTTGTTCTGGTGACGGAAAGCTCATTTTGTTGCTCTTGTTCTAATTGTTGATTATGTTGAGTTAAGGTGTTATTTTATTAAATTAGCCTCATTTTTATTTTTTGTACTTTCCAGATATTTACTTTTATCATCTGCAAATAGAAATAATTCTGTCTCTTCATTTCCATATCTTTTGCCTCTTAATTATTCCTTCTGGTCTAATTGCATTGGCTATAATGTCTAATAGGAGTCCTGGTGTGGTGTTGGATTACATGTTGTGCAGCTAACCAAAAGACCAGCAGTTAGAAACCACCAGGCTCCTCTTAGGGAGAAGTTGGGGCTTCCACTCCAACAAGGAGAGTTGTTGAAACCCAGAGGCTGATGTAGCTCTCTAGCGTCAAGGCTCTAGAGCTCCCCCTTCTGTCATCTATTTGAAGTATTTTAAAACATGGAGCTTCCTGAAATGGGCTGGCTCCTCTCCCCTTTCCATTCTTCTTCTTTTTCAGAATGTTTTAAAATTTTATTTTACAAGTAGTACCTTTAAAAAATATTTTTAAATAATAAAACAAGTGACTTCAGTTTACAGCGCCAAGGCATATTGTTTCAGGTGTCATTACTGTACCTTCCCCCTATTTATTAAGTCAAACCATTTCAAGCTCTTCAAGCTCGTAAATTCGCAATGAGGCGTAGAAGCCCGACCAGGAGGGGAGAGAGTGTTCTGGGGAGAAGGGGACGGACAGCAGGACTCCTCCGTGGTGTCGTTTATAGAGCACCCGTGCTCCACCGTACAAATGGGTTCCTCCTGAAAGTGGGAGTGTGATCACTCGGGGCCTCTGGCTGGGGCTGCTTTAGTCTCCCGAGGCGAATGGAGGGTTGTTCCGGGCCAGGAGTCCAGCCGTGCCTCCAGCCCCTATGAGCTACTCTGACCAAGCTGTTGGGAAGCCCCGCTTACAGGAGGAATGGCCATTCCAGCATAAACCTGTCCTTAATCCTACGCAGACGCTCTTTTCCTTCAGGGGATGGCGAGTCCTAGGTCGTGGCCTGAAGCACATGTCCTGAGGGGCTTCCTCTGGGGGAGCCCTCGGCCCTTCATTCTGATCACATCTCTAAAAGCTGTTCCGTTTCTTGAAGGGCGGTTGTAAAATCGTTCACTTTGTTGTTACATATGCTTTGCTGTTCGAGGAATCGGAGCCGTTCTTCTTTTGTCTTCAGCTTTACCTTTAAGGCCTGTAACTCTTCCATCTGCTTCTTGGCTGTTTCATTAAAAAGCTTCAGCTCGTCTTGCAATGTTTCCAACAGCAACACAGAGTCTGTGAGATCCGGACTGGATTCCTGCTGCCACCCCAGGGCCTCACTCCCTGGGTGCATGCCCTTGCTCTCCAAAATAGCCAAACAATTGTCCTGAAACTTCTCCAGCAGCTCCACCTTCCGAGTCAGGTCTTTCAGCTCTCCCTGAGTTTCAGTCAATTTCAGGTGCAGCTGCTTGTTGACTGACTCTAAGAGCTGATTCTTGTCTTTGAGCTCCTCTTCCGGTTTCTGCTTAATCAATGGTTTGCAACTCTTCATGGTGTTCTTCCTAGTGGCAGTGTCTGCAGCTCTCGTCTGCCCGTTTTCTCGTCTTGGTTTGATGATTTTTGTCATCTCGGCCTCCGAACCGCCCGAATGGAGCAGTTTGGACTTCACGGGCAGTAGACTTTTAGACGTAACTCGAGATTGTCTGTCTGCGGGCAAGCGCCGTTCAGCAACGAGGGGGGCTGCAGCGCGTACACTGTCTTCACCACGCTGGTCATGGTGACGAGGTGGTACGGCGGGGCTCTGGCGGATGCAAAGGGGTGGTTAAGTAACGCTGGGCGGCGGGGCGCATCGCCCGCGGCAGGGCCTCCCACCCACCCGGCCGCCCCATCGGGCAGCTGGGGATCCCAGCTGGTTCGGGGTTAAGGGAAGGCGCGGCCTGGCCAGCCGAGCAGCCCTATCTGGGACGGTCTTTACACTTGCACTTGGCCCCAAAGCCCAGAAGTGACCTGGAATGATCTCCGGTCCTGCCCAGGCCCCTGTTCCCGGAGCACCGCACCCAGGAGCTCGCTGCTCCCACGGGCAGTCCACCTCGATCTCTTTCAAAAGACGCTCCCTCTTCTTTTTTTTAAACAAATCATTTTATTGGGGCCTCTTACAGTTCTTATAAGAATCCATACATCAGTTTTATCAAGCACATTTGTACATATGTTGCCATCATCATTTTCAAAACATTTTCTTTCTACTTGAGCCCTTGGTATCAGCTCCTCTTTTTCCCTCCCTCCCCCACCCTCTCACCCTCGTGACCCCTTGATAAACTGTAAATCATTATTAACTTCATACTTTATACCATCTTCTGTGGCCCTTCACTCATGTTTCTATTGTTCCTCTCCCTGGGGTGGAGGGTTATACATCGATCATTGTGATTGGTTCCTCCTTTCTCCCCCTTCTCCCTATACCTTTCCTCTACCCTCACTACTCGCATTTGTTCCTGAGGGGTTTCTCTGTCCTGGATTCCGTGTGTCTACAGCTCTTCTCTGTACCAGTGTACATGCTCAGGTCTAGCCAGATTTGTAAGGTAGAAGTGGGGTTATGATAGTGTGTGCGTGTGTGGGTAGGGGTGGGGAGTAATAAAGAACTAAAGGAATGTGTTTTTTCCGTGCTATAATGCACCTTGGCTGGCTCATCATTTTCAAATTTTAGCAGTTTCAGCAGAGAAAGGACATAGAAATAATTCAATATAAGAATCAGTTCCAAAAGAATTAAACTTGGCTTCTGTTAGGGGGAAAAAAACAACACCTTACTATGTAGAAAAGAAACCTGGGGGTGGGGGTGGGGAATCTGACAAGAGGGAATTCATCTCTATTGTTATCTTTCTCTGGTCTCTGGGCCTTTCCTCACTGGTATTCCTGTATTCTAGAATATTCTATCTCTCTAATGCCTACACAGTCTTCCAGTCTTAACTATCACCTTTTTTCAGGAAACATTATCCAACTCCTCTTAGAACATGAAAGGTGTTCCTTTTACGTGTGTCTTGGCATTTTGTACTTTTCCGACTGTAGCATCTTCTAAATGCTACCCTAGCAGCTTACAGAAACATCTCTCTTCTTCCACACCAGGCCTGGCGAACCATGAAAACAGGGGTGGATTATTCTAGCTCACCTGGATATTTCTAGTGCCTAGGACACAGTATACACTCAGGAGAAAATAATGGATGCAGAAGGAAGTCCCTACAGAGACTTAAGAATGTAAGCGGCCCAATATGAAGAGCCTCAATAAAGCTGCAGGGAACCTTATTTAGTGCACTAACAGAAAACAAAAACAAAAACCCAACTTATTGCCAAGGAGTCAATTCCAACTCATAATGACAGTTTGGGTCATTGTTCAGGTGCTAACCACAGGTCAATGGTTTAAGACCCCAGCTGCTCCCTGAGAGAAAAATGAGACTTTCTACTCCCATGAAGACTTACAGTCTCTGAAACACCCAGGAGTGTTCTGTTCAGTCCCAGAGGGTCACTATGAGGACTGGAAAGGGGAGAGGCTGAAAACCTAGACCAGTGGCTCTCAACCTTCCTAATGTCGCGACCCTTTAATACAGTTCCTCATATGGCGGTGACCCCCAAACCAGAAAATTATTTTCATTGCTATTTCATCACTGTCATTTTCTTACTGTTATGAGTCGGGCGACCCCTGTGAGAGGGTCATTCCACCCCAAAGGGGTCGCGACCCACAGGTTGAGAACCGCTGTTCTAGATGCTTCTTTTTAATCTCAAGGATTGCCCCAAGAGCAAGCAGTCCCCTCCCTGGAGCGCATATGCTTTTGGTTAGGCTCGGTGGTGTCCATCCGGTCTTCTCAGTGGTTGGCAGATGCTGGCAGGACGAGAGTAGATCCCAGGAGTCCGAGATGACAAAGGAGGGTTCCTGAGGACACTGCTGCTGTCACCCAGCCACAGGAGATCGACATCTAACGGAAGTATAAATATTGATATGTCCAGTATCCCATAATGGAACGCTCTAAAAGTCTTATTTCATCTCTAAATTCCAATGAAAACATAAAAATAGTGCATCTGATTCAGCACCCAGGCATTAGAATAACCTAATCTGGTAATTACAAAAGAATCAATCAGAATCTTGGCATCTATCAGAGAACAGACATTACTTGGTTGTTATTCCATAAAAAAGAAAGCCAGGGGGGAAAATCGATGACAAGACAGACTGGCACCAACACTTCTTAAAGAAAACTCCTTGGAGTTGAAGGAAACAGAGCCCAGTGGAGAGATGGCCGTAGGAGACGCAATGATAGCCCTGACGCGCACAGTTACAACCTCGGCAGCCGGTCTCTCACACACATGTTGGGCCTGATCTGGTTTTCAGTGTGTTTGTTCTTGCTCTTCATGGGGTTTAGCTCTGATATAGTTTGTCATTGGGGACAGCCCTCTTGAATTTTTGCTATGTGCTTTTCGGCATATGAAACCCCGGATTGGCGAGCCTCTAGAGACAGCAAGTGGAATAAGGGGGTGTGGAGGAGGGGAGTGGGGAGTAAAGAGGCGATGACACCAAGGAGTTCCAGCAGAAAGAGGATGTTTGGAAACTGATTGTGGTAGCAATTGTAAAATACTGCTGATGCGATTGAACTATGCAATGACGCGATATCTGTATTATGTCCCAATAAAAAGGTTTTGGGGGAAAAGGAAAAAAACCAAACCAAATTGTCTTGCATTGTGTCCTAAACCTATGTTTTCCATAAGTGGTCTAGGGGCTTATTCTATCAGAATAACCTGGGTACTGGCATAAGACACAGTCCCAAGCCCCAACTGTGGTGGTGGTTGTTGCCATTGGGTCGGTTAGGTGCCATCGTGTCGGTCCTCACCCATAGCGACCCGTGCACAGCAGGATGAAACACTGCCCGGGCCGGCACCGTCCTCACACTGTTCTTGTGCTTGCGCCCTGATTGCAGCCACTACGATCTGATGACTACGGCGGACCAGACCCGAGCACAGGCCTTGTCAGTTGACTCATAGACATGAGAAAGTGAGGCAGGGAACAGAGACGACTAGATGCATTTTAATTGAAGTATCTGTGGAGAACATGGAATGTGCTGTGCACTGGCCCACAGTGAATGCTTGTGTAATCCTAGAAATACAACAGGATGTGCCTGAGGAGGAAGGACGGTGAGATTTTGTCTTGGTTGCTTTGGACCTGTCCTCGATGCTTCCTCCCCCCACTATCATGATCCCAATTCTACCTTACAAGTCCGGCTGGACTGGAGGATGTACACTGGTACAGGTAGGAACTGAAAACACAGGGAATCCAGGACACATGAACCCCTCAGGACCAGTGGTGAGAGTGGCGATATGGGGATGGTGGCGGGAAGGTGAGGGAGAAAAGGGGAATTGATGACAAGGATCTACATATAATCTCCTCCCTGGGGGATGGGCAGCAGAGAAGTGGGTGAAGGGAGACACCGGACGGTGTAAGATATGACAAAATTATAATAATTTATAAAGTATCAAGGGTCCATGAGGGAGGGGGGAATGGGGAGGGAGGGGAAAATGAGGAACCAATACCAAGGGCTCGAGTAGAAAGCAAATGTTTTGAAAATGATGATGGCAACAAATGTACAAATGTACTTGACACAATGGATGGATGGATGGATTGTGATAAGAGCTGTACGAGCCCCCAATAAAGTGATTTTAAAAAAGAGAAAAAAATCAATAACTAGAAAAACAGGTAGTAAAGTAGAGGGTCAGTGAATTAAAATGGATTGACCCAATAATCATAACCCTGGACTTAAAACTAATGATCGTGGGGACAGTCCATGTCAGGGCAATATTTCATTTTGTTATATATAAGGTGGCCATGATCATTACATTTTCTGTGCCGGCATGGCTCCTGTAGGAATGTATGGGCAGAGTTTAGCCTGTCAATCAGGTCACAGCTTGACTGGAGGGCAACCGAGATAATGGCTTTCTGAGATCAGCCTCCTTCTCTCTTTCTCCCTGGAGGCAGGCCGCAACACTCTCTCTGTTTCACCTTCCTGGTGACAAGTTGATGGCAGCCAAAACCCTGAAGATGCATCCACCGCCATTGGACGTGCAACACTTGCACTCACCAACCATTCTGCATTCTGCATCATTGAATATGGCTCATGAGTCTGAAGAGGGATTTATGGACTAGTATCAGACTTATGGGCTAATATTGAACTTATGGACTTGATCTAGACTGGGCTGGGATGTTTTCTTAATATACAATAACTCTTTGATATAAAGCTTTTTCTTAAACATATAAGTGTCCTTGGATTCGTTTCTCTAGTCAACCTGGTCTAACACAGTGGCCGTGAGTCAGAACCAACTCAGCAGCGACTAACAACATTAATAATTATATGGGGCACGAGGTGTAAGCGGGTACTTTTCTGGGAAAACCCAAATGTGTGGTCACTCTGCCATGGAAGCCCACGGTGCATGCAATTCTGGCAGTGGATCAACTGTGAGAGAGAGGGGAATTCATTTCAAATCTCCGAGTCTCAGCTTTTCCCTATGTAAAATGAGAAATAGTGTGTGGGGCCTATCTGGTTTCTCCATAGTCTCTAATTCTGATGCACCGATTTATTTAATGTGACTCTACCTTTCACCAAATAACTTTTTCCTAATGGGTCTGGGTAAGAGAAAGTGGGGGAAGATATTGATAGGTTTATAGGATTCAATGGTCAGCGATTGTTTATAAGGTCAGTTGTAATTATAAACACTTGGAACCCTAACATGCCGGTTGGTAAATTTTGCCACCACCTGCTGGGTATAAAATGATCTACCTGCACCATGAACCTCTTCAATCCAGAGACAGGGTTGTGACACCAGAGAAGCATCAAAGAAGTGCGCAGGAAGGGACTCAGCAGAGCCAAAGCGTGAGACAGAGTTGTGGCTTCCAAGCCCACCGAAGGAGTAAAGTGGAGACCCTTCCGGCTCTCTTGAGGAGCATGGTGCTAAGCTTGTCCCATGGAGCTGGCGGGGAGTACCTTCAGGCTGAGGCTTTTCGTGGAGTGGCGTCCCGTGTCGGCTTTTAGCAGCACTTCACAAAGCTTTGTAGCAGTGTCTGAGCAGGCAGAGGCCAAGGGAATTCATGGCTGAGAGGGCAAGGCCCAGAGCGAGGCCTGTGTGTAGGGATGTCTGGGAAGAGGCCATCCGGACAGCAGATGTGTGTCTTGAAGCATACCTGATGCTGAAGTCCAGCCTGTTATCTTCCTAATGCTAAAGCCCGTGATTGGGAGTACCGTCTGTGAGCTGTGCGGCCCATACAATGAGTTATCAGCCCAGCTGAGAAGTAGAGTTCTGTAGGAGGGGCGGTTGGGATGAGAATTGATAAAAAAAAAAGGGCTTTCTACTCCCACAAACACTTATACGGAAACCCACAGGGGCAATTCTACCCTGCCCTATAGGGTTGCTATGAGTCAGCATCCACTCGATGGCAGTGATTTTTTTTTTTTTTTTACTTATTAATGCTGGGGCATCGGGTAATAAAGAATTTAACCTTGCCCAGGAGAGTGTTAAAAAGCAAAGGTGTCACTTTCAGGACTTAAAAAACGATTGCCTGTTCAAGCTCCTCATAGGCATATGAAATCTATTTTGGGAGAAGTACAACCAGGATGTTCCTTAGAAGCAAGAATGGTAAGATTTTTGTCTCACATGCTTTAGAGATAATACTTGGAGAGGTCAGTCCTTGGAGAAGAACTTCAAGCTTGGTAAAGTAAAGAGTCCTTGGAAGAAGACATCAGACTTGTGCATTTCAAACCACGCAGGATTCCCTTGTTCTGTTTGCACAAGTGCCTCTTGAGCCATGGATAGCTTGTGCATGAGCACCCGGATTTCACTGTAAATGTTCTGATGTTAGTATTATCCTTACAGCTTAGTAATTTGCCAAGTCAGTGGATATAAACTTCCTTGCTTAATTTGTGTTTTCGTATTGTTTTCCATGTTTGCTTGCTAGCTACATTCTTTTTTTTAAAATCATTTTATTGGGGGCTCGTACAGTTCTTAATCACAATCCATACATACATTCATTGTGTCAAGCACATTTGTACATTTGTTGCCATCATCATTCTCAAAACATTTGTCTTCTACTTGAGCCCTTAATATCGGCTCCTCATTTTCCCCCTTCCTCCCCTCAATGAACCCTTCATAATTCATAAATTATTATTGTTTTGTCATATGTTACACTGTCCGATGTCTCCTCTCACCTACTTCTCTGTTGTCCATCCCCCAGGGAGGAGGTAATGCGTAGATTCTTGTAATTGGTTCCCCCATTCCACCCCACAGTCCCTCCACCCTCCAGGCATTGCCACTCTCACCACTGGTCCTGAAGGGGTCATCTGTCCTGGATTCCCTGTGTTTCCAGTTGCTATCTGTACCAGTGTACATTCTCTGGTCTAGCCAGATTTTTAAGGTAGAATTGGGATCATGATAGTGGGGGGAGGAAGCATTTAAGAACTAGAGGGAAGTTATATATTTCATCGTTGCTACCCTGCACCCTGACTGGCTCATCTCCTCCCCATAACCCTTCAGTAAGGGGGTTTCCAGTTGCCTACCGATGGGCTTTGAGTCTCCACTCTGCACTCACCCTCATTTACAATGATATGATTTTTTGTTCTTTGATGCTTGATACCTGATCCCTTCGACAGCTTGTGGTCACACAGGCTGGTGTGCTTCTTCCATGTGGGCTTTGTTGCTTCTGAGCTAGATGGCCGCTTGTTTACCTTCAAGCCTTTAAGACCCCAGAGGCTATATCTTTTGATAGCTGGGCACCATCAGCTTTCTTCACCACATTTGCTTATGCACACATTTGTCTTCAGTGATCATACTGGGAAGGTGCATATATAGGTTTAGTATTAAGGCAGCAGATGGATATTGGGCCTCCACTCAAGTACTTACTCAATGCAAGAACACGTTGTTCTATTAAATTGGCATTCCATGATGCACAATCCATCCTGGAATGCCTATTTTATTAAAAATTTAATATTCATGCAATGGTTTGTAACAACAAATAGGTGCTACTTTGTGGCACAAATCAGAGCATTATATTATTATTATATGTTAATGATACTTTAGTATGTCTAAAGGTCAGCAGTTCAAGGCCACCAGCTGCTCTGTGGAAGACAGAAGAGGCTTTCTACTCCCACCAAGAGTCACCGTCTCAGAAGCGCACAGGGGCAGTTCTACCCTGTCCTGTTGGGTTGCTATGAGTCAGTGTGGGATCATGGCAGTGAGTTTGGCTTTTGTTTTTAAACTGTGCTGGAACTCTGGGTGGTACAAATGGTCAACTCACTTGGCCACTAGCCCAAAGGCTAGAGATTTGAGTTTAAGCATTGGTGCCTCAGAAGAAAGGCCTGGCAATTTTATTCTGGAAAAAAAAATCAGTTATCACCCAGAACAAAAAATCATGTCAATGTGAATGAGGGAAGGGGAGGGGTGTATGGAGTGGAGGCCCAAAGCCCATCTGTAGGCAACTGGACATCCCCTTACAGAAGGGTCCCAGAGAGGAGATGGGCCAGTCAGGGTGCAGTATAGCACTGATGAAACATAAACCTATCCTCTGATTCTTTAATGCTTCCTCACTCCCACTATCATGACCCTAATTCTACCTTACAAATCGGGCTAGACTAGAGCGTGTACATGGGTACAGATAAGAGCTGGAAACACAGGGAATACAGGACAGATAAACTCCTTGGGACCAATATTGAGAGTTGCCATACCAGGAGGGGAAGGGGAAGTTGGAGGGAGGAAGGGGGAACCAATCACAATAATCTACTTATAACACCCTCCCAGGGGGATGGACAACAGAAAAGTGGGTGAAGGGAGACAGACAGTGTAAGACATGGAAAAATAATAATAATAATAATCTATAAATGATCAAGGGTTCATGAGGGAGGGAGGGGGGAGGGAGGTAAGGAGGGAAGAAAATGAGGAGTTCAGGGTTCAAGTAGAAAGCAAATGTTTTGAGAACGATGATGGTAACAAATGTACAAATGTGCTTGACACAATGGATGTATGCATGGATGGTGATAAGAGTTGTACGAGCCCCCAATAAAGTGATTTTAAAAAATCAGTTATCAAAACCCCTGGAGCACAGTTCCATTATGACACACATGTGGTCACCACGCCTCAACAACCACTGCCTTTTGGTTCTAACCTTTGCCTAGGACGACATCCAGGAGCCGTGTTGCCATGGGAGAGGCGCTGGGCTGCAGCCACAAGGTTAGAATCGGCTTGGTCGGCGATGAGGTTGGTTTAAGCTTGATGTTTTGATCAGAAGGGGGCCTGGTTGCAAAGGGGTAAAGGACTCAGTTGTAAACCAAAAAGTTCCATGTACAAATGCGCTTCACACAATTGATGTGTGTTTGGATTGGGATAACAGTTGTATGAGCCCCTAATAAAATGTTAAAAAAAAAACCCCCAAAAGTCCCGTAGTTCAAGCCCAACAGCTGCTCCTCAGGAAAAAGAGTGGCAGTCTGGCTCGTTAAGGTTTGCAGCCCTGTGACCCCTGTGGGGTAGTTCTACGTGTCCTATTGGGTTGCTATGAATTGGAATTGACTCATTGGCAATGGGTAGGTTGTGATGACTCAGGAATAACTTAGCCCTGCCCCAAGATACCCTTTAACACTGAGTATTTATCCATTTATTCATCTATCCATGCATCCATTTCAATAATTGGGTTTTCTTCTTGCCTATTTATTCTATTCTTGGGATACATCATTTATCTTATGCTAGAGCCACAGTATTTCAAAAATCACTTTGCAGTGTGTTTTGATAGCTTTCAGAGTGATGTATGTCGCAGAGTTCTTCTCTTGGTTACTTACTTTCCGAAATGAATTTTAGAACCTCTCTATTTATTATCATAGAAAACATGTTTAATATTTCTAAACCAGTCTGAAGAGCTATGACATCTTTATACAGAAACAGTAGCTGAATATTCTGTCTCAGAAACAGAAAGTTCAAGAAGGATGGAGCCTGAGGAAGGAAACAGGGTAAAGAATAATCTAGGGTCTGTTAAGGCAGTGGTTCTCAACCTGTGGGTCGCGACTCTTTCACAGGGGTCACCCGATTCATAACCGTAGCAAAATTATAGTTATGAAGTAGCAACAAAAATAATTTTTATGGTTGCAGGGTCCCCACAACACAAGGAACTTTATTAAAGGGTTGTGACCTTAGGAAAGTTGATAACCACTGTCGTTAGGGTGAACCCCAACTAAGTACTCCATGTAGCAGGAGCACAAGTTCCTGTGGCGATAGCCCCAGAGAGAGGATAAGCACACAGCTTGTTCTTCAGATCGAGCAACAAGAAACGACCTTGGGCCTTGAGACTGAAGGCCATAATTCTGGCCATATCCACCTTCTCCCATTTTGTCATTGTAAGGAGTTATCTTCAGCAAAGGGTCACGCAAAAACAGTTCACAGCAGTACAAGGGCAGGAAGCTGCCCCCCAATTCAGGCTGGATTCTGAAGAGGACATGGCATAAGGGATTCCACTGCTGATTTCAGATGGATCCCGGCTGAAAAACAGAAAAAAACAGAAAGAGGTTTACTTGTGTTTTATTGACTATGCAACAGCTATTCGATGATGTGGATCATAACAAAGAACTCCAGGGGACTTCACTGTCCCCCTCAGCATCTGTTCATAGACCAAGAGGCAGCCATTTGAATAGAGCAAAAGCATACTGCCTGGTTTTAAATCAGGCAAGATGTCCATCAGGATTGTATTCTTTCACCCTATGTATTCAATCTCTATACTGAGCAAATCATCCAAGAGGCTGGACTATAGGAGGAAGAATGTGGCATTGGGAGTGAAAGAAGGCTTGTTAACAATCTGTGACAGGCGGATGACATTACCTTCCTGATGAAAACTCAGAGGATGTAAAGCGCTTGTGGATCAAGAGCAAGGGCTACAACCATCACAATGAATTGCAACTCAATGTAAAGAAAATCGAAATCCTCCCCAATGGGCCATTAGACAACATCCTGACAAATGGAGAGAAAAAAGTCATCGCAGTACCATTGCTGCCTGACTGCGGGGGAGGGCTTCCACATTGGCTTTGGGGAGAGGGATACAATTTCATCCATGGCGGGATCATCTATACTTTGACCAACTCATCCTCTCCTTTTCTCCTTTCAAGAGAAGTATTTGCGTTTATCTTTGTAACTTTCTCATTTCATCACTTTCTTATGTGAAAGACAGCAATGTTAGGTTAGATGGGCAAAAATCAAAGGCCTTCCTCCCTTAGTCCAAGTCATCAATGATGGAAATTAACAAGTGCTGTACTTTAAGCTAATGACTTACAGATGTTGTCTACTATGAATAGACATAACTTTAATAGAAGGACCATTAGAGTAAATTGAATAGCTTTAAAGGAGTGAGAATTTGAGCATATATTATGTTTTATAAATCACACCAGAGGCTATACTTGGCAAGCATTCCCCCCTATGACTCATGTGAAAGACCCAGGCAGGGGAAGTTGCCGTGCCTTCAAGGAAGAGGAGGGAGATGCATTATCTGGGGCGTCAAACTTTCAGACTGCCCAGGGTGGCCCTTGACCTCCATCTGAACGTTCTCAGGCATGCTGGAGGGCTCCTGGGGTTAGTGGATGACATGTGGGGCTGCTCCTTGTACACTCAGCAGCTAGAACCCACAGCTGTTCTTCAAGACAAGAAAAGGGCTTTCTGCTCCAAAGGAGGAGATATGCAGCCTCAGAGACCCTCTGGGGCAGCTCTCCTGTGTCCTACAGGGCCACCTGGAGCCGACATCGACTGGATGGCCAGGAGGTTGGTTTCAGAAGGCATGCTGTAGCACCTTGTTGGGAAATCTTCCAGTGGGTCCATGTTTGGCTCACTCATCACACCCAGAACTCATCAGTAACCTCTGTACTCATTGTTGTAGTTACATAATTTCATGTCAACTTGATGTATATAGAATGTAGGGGTGGAGTCTAGCCTGTCAATCAGGTCACACCCTGTGGGTGTGGCCTTCTCATAAGGAGGGTCCTAGGACACGTCCCCCACCCCCTCAATTCCTCCCCCACCCTACCCTGCATTTACTTATTCACTTTCCTGCTGGAAAGCCACACTGAAACCCACCAGTCCTGTGATCCTTCCATGCCATTAGATCCACAAGACTTTTCACCCACCAGCCTGTGATCTTCCTGCATTCTGCATCATTGCGTGTGCCTCTGTGAGTCTGAAGGAGTCTGAAGGGGACTTATGGACTAGTATTGGACTTATGAACTTGAGTTGGACTTAGCTGGGGTATTTTTCTGCTATACAATTACTTTTTGATATAAAGCTCCTTCTTAAACATATATGAGTGTCTCTGGATTTTGTTTCTTTAGCCAACCCAGCCTAACACACTCAGAGAAACCGCCTCCCAAACAGATTGAACAATGACCTATATACAGTTAGTGGGGGGTGGGAGAGAATACATTAATATTCAACACTAATTAATGTTGGTCAGTTGAGTATGTGTATATGAGCAGGCTTCCAAAAGTTAATGGGAAAATAGAATTAGAAGATAATGGAATTTTTTAAATTAACACATTGAAGATCTATACCTACATATATACAACATAAATCACTAAATAGTTGAGGGACAGAAGCAGCTTTAAAGAGAGGGTCAAGCTGAATAAACAGAGTCATTTCTCCTTATTTGAAATAGGGATTTTTGTTTAAAGTTACTATGGGCTGCTCAGGTTTCTAGACATTACATAGAAGCAAATGTAAATGAACTCTATAGTTAGAGTTCAAAACTTCAAAACCAAACTCCAGAACTCACTGTCATTGAGTTCATTCCAACTCACAGTGACCTTATAGGGCAGAGTAGAACTGCCTCTTGTAGGTTTCCCCAACTGCCAATCTATGCGAGCAGAAAGCCCCATCTTTCTGCCACAGAGCAACTGTTGATGTAGCAAGTTGTAACTCTACATCACCAGGGCTCCTAGGCCAATAAAATTCCCGGTTATTAAGTATCAAGGAACACTAGTGATCCAGCTAGCTATATATATTAATCATAAGTCATCATAACGAAACTGCAGAACTAGACCCAGAAAGAATGTGGGAATTGTTAAATTAGTAAGAAATCTGTTACTCTAAAATAACATGTAAACTTATGTTACATGTATCATTATCAAATAAGCATACAACAAATAAAAAGGTTGAGTTGGAAAATAAATCATAAATTTTCTAGCCCCAAAACAAAAGAACAGAATTATTTTAACAATTGAAAAATCCAAAGAGAGCTTCCCTAAGACATCAAAGCTGAAGCGATTGTTCAGATCACTCGAGACAGATGTAACGACATTCTCCAGACTCAGTGGTGTAACCAAGAAATAGAAACGAGGATATGAAAGCTAGGAGACTTGACGTAAGGAATGCAGTTGAGTGAAGGGGAAGAGAAAAAGAATGGAGGAAAAGAACTATTTGAGAATTGGTGGAAACTCTACAGAGCCAATTAAAGTTCATGAATCTTTACATTAAAGAAGCACAACAAATCCCAAAGACAATGAACATCAGTCAATCAACAAACATCTATTGCGATTCTGCCTTATGTCAGACTGCCATGTAGGTGATAGGAAAACTGTTGGATTAGAAATACTATTTCTTAAAAAACCCAACAGTAAAATTAAAAAGCCAGCTATTTCCTTTTCTTCTTCCCCCTCCCCCTC